AAAATGGGTTCGAGGCAATTCAAACTATAAGCCGTTCGGTTTGATTACCCATTTTAGGTAATAGTTCAACCAACAAGCGATTTGTAGAAAAGGCTAAAACAAGTTGATCTGATCCAAACGCAGAACTTGGTTTGTTGATAACTGCATCAGATGGGCCAAATCAAGCTATTTGCGAGTCAATTGAACTCTGGCTCGTGTAAAGCTTTGATTTGGTTGGGTCCAAATTAGAGATGGCAATATGACCCGTCTGGGCCGGGGCGGGTTTCTTTACCACTGATTGGGGTTTGGGGCAGGTCTGGGGAAAACCCAAAACTCTGGGGTCGTGGATGGGTGGGGACTGTATTTGTCCACCCTGCCCCGACTATATTATATAATTATTAATATATACTAATATATATTATATTATATTATTATATATCATATATAAAATAGTTTATTAGATTTCAAAAAATAAAAATAAATTAATTAATAAATATAAAAGTAAAAATGACCAGGCGGGATGGGGTAAAGTCGGGGATCCCAATTAAGATTTTTATCCCCATGGGGGTTTGGGATAGGTACGAATTTGAATTCGGGTCGGGTACGAGGCAGACAAAACCCAACCCCACCTCGCTCCATTGTCATTCTTAATCCAAATTGAGCTTAGAGCTGAGTTCGGGTCCAATATATAAGCTTCTTGCCAATTGATCTCGGCTCAAATAGTATGAAACTTGGCAAGCGTAATTGAATCTATATATAATTTTCTCAATTTTGTATATGTATAAAAAGAAATAATTTTTAAATTTGTGGCCTCCTACCCGAGTCCACATAGATCGCCAAGTATTCACTATTCACTATTCACTGCCCAGTTTCTTATCAGGTGTGGGAGTACTTCCTTAAAGCTGTTGGGATCTGCTGTGTTATGCCGAGCTCTGTCAAAGACCTGCTGTGCTCTATCCAGGGTTGGAAGAAGAAGAAAAGGAAAGTTGGTGTGGAAAATCATTCCTGCATCTGTCCTTTTGTTAATTTGGTCGGAAAGAAACAATAAAATCTTCTGTAACAAAATTAAAAATCCAAATTCAAATGAGTCAATGCAGTGTGCACTAATAAATTTTAGGAAAAATTACCTTCCCTTGATATGAGCTTTTGAGTCAACTTCCAAGTGGTAGAGTTTCTAGCTTGACCTGTGTAGCTGGGTAAGGTTCCAACTTCCAAGTGATCGATGAATCATATGTTTATGGGTGTTTATCCAGGTAGGGTTTAAAGCATCCATTATATGGAGTGTTACGGTAGGAAAAGGCCACGTGGACCCACGTAAGTTGCCACCTCAGCTGTCAGATTGACACATACAAGGATGGATTCCAATCCTGTTTTATCCAAACTAGGGTCTCAATTCAATATGCGGTTGGAATACTAGTGGTACATAATCATATTCGTTTGAGAGAGAGAGAGAGATGGCTGTTGCTATGGGAAAAGCAGTCTTCCTTGGGAGATGCTCAACATCTTCTCTATCAAACACTGCAATATTTCGTGGCAGGAACATAAATAGGTTCTCTGCTGCGAGACCCAGACCGGCCCTACGCTCCTCCATCGCAGCTCGAGCACAACGACCCACTTGGCTTCCTGGACTCGATCCACCTCCTCACCTAGATGGAACGTAAGCCCCGATTTTCCTACTAATCTAAGTAGTCTAGTATCATGTTGTCGAATTTCACAATTGACCTTTCATGCATTTCCCCTCTTCGGTGCAGTCTAGCGGGAGATTTTGGTTTTGATCCTCTCGGGCTTGGAGAGGATCCCCAAAGTCTTAAATGGTATGTGCAGGCAGAGCTCGTACATGCTCGTTTTGCAATGGCCGGAGTAGCTGGAATTCTCTTCACTGACGTGAGTTTTTTTTCCTTTTCTTTTCTTTTTTTTTTTTTACTAAAATTATGGCACGGTGATGGTTGTGCATCATTTCAGCACTCAGCAGTAATTCCTACATAATAGAACTCTGTTTGTTACCATCTTTTTCTTTTTCCATATGAGAGAGAGAAAGAGAGAGCGTATAATTGAAATGTAGACAGTAATTCCCCCACGGTATCAAAACCCCTGAAAGGACTAGTATTGGCATTTCAATTCTCGAATCGAGTTTCAGCCCACGTGTTCTTTCTGGGGACAAATGAGGTTCCTGGGAAAATACTGCTCTTAAGTCTGGTTCTAAGCCTTGAATACATAATGCGTGTTTAGTATCTAATTTGTCCTCTTTTGTTGCAGTTACTTCGTGTAACAGGAATTAGCAACTTGCCGATTTGGTATGAAGCAGGTGCAGTAAAATTCGAATTTGCCAGCACTGAGACCCTATTCATTGTACAGCTTTTCCTGATGGGGTGGGACTTTATCCATTTTCTTATCTCAGTTTGATGATACTGTCTTAAGTCTTAACTAATGTTTTCCTTCTGAATCATTTATGAAAACCCAATTATTTTCTAAGACCAATCAAATCATGTCTCTCTTGACAATACCCTAAGAGGCTAAGATTACTTAGTTGTTAGTTGACACTTGAGGTGCACTGGAAAGGTAACTAATTTATAAATTGTTATGGCTGGAAGCTGCAAAAGTGAGAACATATTTCTTTTGTCTCCTCCGAACAGCATCTTCTCAAATTTCCACTCGGCTCAAGCTCACAATTCAGCTAAGGACGCAGACAATGCATTATTTCTTTTCATGGTAATTGTAATCCTAACTGTTTTGGTCTCCTATAATTTTGCAGGTTCGTAGAAACCAAAAGGTATATGGATTTCACTAACCCTGGATCCCAGGCCAAAGAGGGAACTTTCTTCGGGCTGGAAGCTGCACTAGAAGGCTTGGAACCTGGGTAATCTGCTTTCTACTTTGTAGAAAACTGTTCTTGCCTTGTTTCATGAAAATAATTCTTGGAAAAAATCCGACTCCAGTAGTAGGTAGTGGAACAAACTTTTTGCTTTTATAGATGACGGGAAGTATCAAACTAACAGCATGTATTATTATTGCAATTTAACAGCTATCCTGGCGGTCCTCTGCTCAATCCTCTTGGTCTGGCTAAAGATATCAAAAATGCCCATGACTGGAAGCTCAAAGAGATCAAGAATGGTCTGATTTAATTGGTTGTTGCTTGCTTTGTTGTCTTAACATTTGATCACAAGTCAGAGTGTAATGTTTACAAGTGTGATCTTGTTCTAGGGAGACTGGCAATGGTGGCCATGCTCGGTATTTTTGTGCAAGCATACGTGACTCATGCTGGTCCTATCGACAACCTCGTGACACATCTCTCTAACCCGTGGCACCGAACTGTGATTCAGATACTTTCAGGCGTCTCACCCTGATTCCTGAATGCAATTTGTCATTAATTTCTCCAATTATGGTTCTCACTTATCACTTCTCAGAGATCATAACTTGGATCTCCTCCTAGCAACATGCATCTATCATGTTAAATTGATAGTTTTGAATTACCATTTATAGTTTTATACCATTAACTCGTTCCAGATTTTGGCAATTAAATATGAACCAAGGAATAAAAGATGCTTTGTCTTCCACAGTATGTGTACCACATGGCACATACTTGGCATGAACAAAAATTACTTCCAACAGAAGGGGATACTTTCTGCCAACCAGGCTGCACTACACACTATAAATATGGTGGCTGATTCCGGCCTCATGGCTCATCCTTTAAGATCAGAATCAATATGGAACACTTAATGTTGCCGCCAGGAAACCAAGTGCACAAGAGTCCTTTCCATTTTATAACCAAAAATCAGCTGAAATTTCTTACTTGAACGACAAGTCACGGATCTATAATATGCAAAGGTATGTATGTTCAAGCACCAAACTTCTCACCCAGCTTTTAGTCTGCAGGTGATGGTGATCTTTATCGGGTTTTGTGTGTATGTGTGTGAGAGAGAGAGAACGCCGATAATCCCTAATAACAATTAATATGGAAAAAAATCAGCTAGATCTCAAATTTTCTTTTGCAATACATCGACTCGGTCACAGGAATAGCCTTAGGTTTGGAGCCAAGGCATAAGAAAAACAAAATTTAAAGAGATTTCCCACACCAACGCCATGCTCTTTATGACGTTAAAATATCACCACCTTGGGACCCCAAGACATGTCTTTTCTCCTGCTCTGTCTCTCCTTCCCTAACAAAATTAGGCAATTAGCCATAAATATGGCCAAAAAACAAGCCTCACCACACTCACCTTCAATAACCACCCATAGCTGTCAACAGAATCAAACACCTATAACCCACCCAAAGGTTTTAGTTTCAGAGAACCACGACATTTCCATCCAAAACAAGGAAAAAAAACACAGAACTTGTGACCTCAAACTGCTGCCGATGTCCCACTTGTGGCTGCTTTGGCCACATAAATTTGCTTGATTTTTGAAGAAGCTAAGTTTTTTTCTGTGCCCGATGATTGATTTCGTCCCTGAAACCCCATTCTTCGATGAGACCATTCACCTCCTGAACCAACCTTCTGAGAAACTCCTCTTTGATCCAAGTATCCAGCGTGATGAAGATACTGATGGTTTGATGAGGTCTGCTGCTGTGACGTCTGAGCCTTGAATACAGAATTCACGCTCTGCCTGCCACTGTTGCTTGTGTTGCTGCTGTTGTTGCTGGCTCCACCATCACCAGCATTTGCAACTGCATTTCTGGATGAACTCTTTGTGACTACACTTTGGGCTTTGGCATTCTCATTGGAGGAGCTGAATGACACCGGTCTGCTGCTTGAAACCCTGGTAGTGCTAGTGTTTGACGGATCCATCAGCCCTAGTTCATCAGGAAACTGAGTTGCAGTGGCTTCAGTTGTCACGGGGAAACTCCTGCTATCTGGGGGTGATGAAGAATGAGGCTCATGGAACCCGTTGCCAGTTGATGACTGCTCCACGGCCAGCCCATGGTTGAATTGTGTGGGCAAAGTGCTTTCTGTCTGCTGCTGTTGTGATGGCATTGATAATGGAATAGATTGAAGAGGTGATGCAGGAACATGAGACCATCGAGCCTGAACTGACATGTCGGGAGATGACTGGAACAAAGAGATCCATTTCAACACTCAGTTATGCTAATAAGCACAACCTAATAACAAATGGTGTTGAGAAGGCATAAAACAGGTTGTGAACATGTACATGCATCACAAGGATGAAATCAAGACTATGTCATCATATTAGAGCCAACAACATGAAACAAAGAAAATCCTGGACTGATGTTATTCATAACACTAAAATGTACTGTTGTATTCACAAAAACTACTTAGAAAAATAAATAAATATGCATTTTCAGAAGATTAGAACCGCTATTGCTTCAAATTTTGCATTTACCTGGAAAGGAGACATATCAAACATGGCTAATGGAGAGGCCATGGGAAGCAGAGGCGATCCTGGGGCCAGATGCTGAATTGGAGTAGGCATACTGGGGGCATTACGCTGTGCAGAGATCATATTCAGATTGTTGATGTCCCCCTCACCAACAACCATTGTGGAAGATGCAGGATTGTGCTTCCAGTCTGGTTGCTTTCCTGACGGAATATAAGTGGTACCCATGAAACTCAAGCCAACCTGGCCAAACTGACCAACTGGTGCAAAATGGTTGTAGACAACCATGTGAGGAGGACCTTGAACACCCGGAATTCCTCCAGGTGGACTGATAAAGGGGCCTGTAAACCCTGCCGGTGGACCATAGAAAGAATCTACACTAGAATGGCATTGTTGCCAAGCACCCAACGGCCCTGAAGTTGTGCTAGTCTTTTGTGATTGTGATTGAGAACCAGCAGATTCATCATGCCCAAAGGAAAAGATAGGTGGCCCTATCATGGGGCTCATCTCATAGCAAGGAAAATGGGAAGGTGGGGCAGCAGGAAAATGTGAAAGCATTTGGCTGGAAGAATTTTGTGGGCTAGGCAAAGGTGGCCATAAGGAAAGGGATGGAGTCTCAACAGATAGATCAGCTGGAAGAGCTAGGGATTCTTCACCCCTAGCTTGACTTGTTGATTGCTGATTGCCAGTGACACCTGCCAAAGAAATAATTGTGCTTAAATATGGTTGAAGCAGGAATAAATATTCGACCAAAATAAAGAGCCAAACTGATTATCAATATTTGCAAGGTCACATAACCACTTCCAGTTGCCAATCCGTCAATTTCTGCACCTCCAAAGCTTTTACCATCTGAAACTGAAATAGAGCATGCCCCCAATCCATTCACAGCTATCTCATCACTACTAATAGCAGCAACGGCAACTGCTGAAGCAGCAGCTTCAGCCTCGGCTTCAGGATCTTCTAAATGAACACAAGATTCATCAGGGTGCTTCTCTTTGTTGAAAAAAAGGGTGCAGTCATTCTCTGCTGCAGACAAATTGTGGTCAATTTGAACATCTGTTCTACATGAGCCTGTAGGACCAATCCCATTTGGAACAACACGGCTACCAGGAGGGAGAATGGTTGGAGATGTAACAGCACCTAAACACAAGTTCATAAATTTATCGAGGGAGGTAAGCAGATGGGAAGGAGGGAGTGGTGTTTCCGATGCAAGAACACTGAATCCAACTGAAATGTACACTCACCAAATTGAATTTTCTCCCCAGCCAGCAGGGAATTGAGAGGGCTTGCTGCCGAAGAAAATGATTTGTCCTGGCTCAATATGGATGGTGATGGTTTGCTAGGCTCAATGACAGTGTTGGTGTGGTCTCCAACTGATGCAACATGTTTATCAAATCGAGCAGGCTTCATAGCCTCATCAAGTTGAGTCTGGGTTAGGGCCATAACCTGACAAAGACAAGTAAATTAACTAAAAGCTCAATAAGAAAATGCTGCAGAACATAAGCCACATGAAAATAAATCAGAATAATTAATTAATAAAGGCAATGTAATGCTATTTTAGAACTTCTGTGCCTTCTCTGTTGCAGGCCAAAGAAATTAGTATGTCAAAACAAAAAAAAACTCCATACTTCAGGACAAATTTTCACAAATGATATATCCAAGATCACAGCTATATGAGAAATTGACCACAGTAGGGACAGGATTTACACATGTATCAACAACCCCGGTCAAAGATACAGGCGGCAATTGATGCAAAACTTTAAGGGTCAACACCAACATGTTCCTTGATGATGCTAAAAACAATGCATCTCTTATATGTGGAATAAAATCCCACCCAATTCTCTCATACCTTCAATGAACTTTTCAAGGGCACATGAAATCCATTAAATGAATAAAAGTGAGGAACCAGTTAGTTTCTCCAATTAGTTTGGCTAAATGGAAAAATGGCAGAATAAAACCACTAATACAAGGAACCATACTTGTTTTTTTTTTTTTGATAAATTAAGGAACCATACTTGTTCTTCAAAAATGTAGCCAAAAAGCAGAATCTGGAGGTGTAACCACCCCAAGGACCATATAAGCACCGGCCCAAATAATAGCACAATCATAAATGTATGATATCCAACGCTCCACAACCAGGGTAGAACAATTGAAAAGCAGAACATGGGAGATGAAACAACTGCAGAAACTTAAGAAACCTAAATCAAGAAGACAAAGATTCCAAAATATGAAAAAAAAAGTTAATTCAAGTAATTGCAACTTAAGAAAAAATAGTAACCATATATGGAAAAAAACACTCAAAGTAAGGAAAAATGCACAACTTCCAAGAATAAAAAGAAAGGAATTACTACTAAAGCTCCATAAGAGAGGTAAGACCACGACAAAACCCACAGATAGAATATTATTTTTTATGGTTGTCACAAACGACTTCGCAGCATGTTATTTCACCTATCAACCTTAGTTTATTAACCATGATGGTTTCACAATGTTTACACCATCCCTACAATTTTTACAATATTTCTATACATCATTTTTTTTATCAATAAAAAGAAATTTCATTGATGAAAAATATAAGTTACAGGGGTTACAGTTTTTGAGTAGCCTCGGCTACCCCACTACAATGTACTGTATCCACTATTAAGTTGATTTTTCACTCTTACAATTGAGCCCATAAACAGTGATCCATGTTTACCCCTTGTTTGGCTAGCTGATCTGCAAATCCATTTGCTGCTCTAGGGGTCCACCTATTGAAAGTTGCATGTCCTTGGATAGATTTTCAATCTTCTTGATGTCATTTCTGAATAGCCAGGGTGTGCTGTCCTGTTGTTTTAGCCAACTGATGATAACTTTGGAATCCCCTTCCACAACCAGCTTTTCCACCCCCATCTCCTAAGCTTTTTGTATTCCATATACCATTGCCTTCAGTTCAGCTGTAGTGGAATTTCCAATTCCAATGGGACCTGAAAACAGCCCCAACATATTTCCTCTTTCATTTCTTATAACCCACCTCCAATTCCAGATCTTCCCAGGTTTCCAAAACTGCTGCCATCAAAGTTTAATTTGATAAAACCTGGTTCAGGGGGAACCCAATCCTTCAGGACCTTCTTCTTTGTAAAGGAAGAGCTAGCAATTGTCCTCCAATTCCTTATTATATCATCCACTGTAAAATTTGAGAATAACTTCAGTGTTTTCACCCATGAAGTCACCTTCATCATAATACTTTCTATTAGTTCTTCCTTGCATCTTTCCTTGTCTTCAAATATTCTCAGATTTCTTTCCTCCCATAGCATTGCTGTCCTTGTGCATCTCCACAGTATTCTCCCTCTTCGCTTTGGCCATCTAAAAGTAGATGGCTCAAACAATCTTTCCAAGCTCAATGGGGTGCCCCACCTGCATCCAAAAAGGTAGAAAAACCAATCCCAAACACTACTAGCAAGAGGACAGGAGACAAGAATATGAAAGGCATTCTCACCATTTGACTTACACAAACAGCACCAATTTGGTGAAAGGCACCAACCAGGTCTTTTCCTCTGCATCAGATCACTAGTGTTAATTGCACTATGATAGACCTCCCAAAAAAAGGCACCCACTTTGTGGGGGATAGGTCAACACCAAACTTCTTGTAAAGGGAAGGGTACCCCAGGTTGGTTAGGAGAAGACAAGGACTTGAAAAAGGAGGCACAACTGAAAACTCCTGAAGGATGAGGAGCCCAAAGTCTAGTGTCTTGTTTCGAAGTGTCTAGAAACACCCCATCGAGCAGCTGGAGTAGAGAGGACAATGAGCCCAATTCTGGATCCCTCACATTTCTGCGAAGTCCGATATTCCAGGCTAGACCAGACAGGGATGGGGAAGGGGCAAGGAAGTCAGCAATCGGTTTACCTTTGAGGGAGGAGAGAGCAAAATTTGAAGGGAATAAGGTTTTTAAAGAAGAGTCCCCCACCCAAATATCTTCCCAGAATTTGATTTTGCTACCTGAGTTGAGATCAAATCTGATATAACTGAGAAACAAAGGGAGAAGTTTGTGAATTGCCTTCCATGGTGAATAGCTCGAGGCCTTACTAGATACTCCAGCATCCCAACCATTCTCTGAGAGCCCATGTATACTAGTTACCACTTTGTGCCAAAGCCTGTCTGTCTCACCTAGGAATCTCCATAACCACTTGCCCAACAGAGCCTCATTCCTCTCCTTCAGTCTCCAAGACCCAATCCTCCCAACTCCTTCCTTTTAGTCACTACTTCCCATCTAACTAGATAATCTCTCTTCTTCTCATCAAGTTCCCATAGAAAATCCCTCATTATCTTTACAACATTTCAAACATGTTTCCTATATTTAGATGATCGACATTTCAACCGACACCAAAATTCCAAACCTTAATCATGTCTATGACTGCAAAAAAGGTTGGACATACCATCCATTGTATCATACCACTATATGCATCAAACAGAAATGATAATTGTCAAGTTAACAGGGTAACATAACCCAATCCTTTCAAACATTTGACAGGAATTTTAATTGTATCAATGAATGAACCCAAATACCCAATATCAGTTCTAGTCAAGGCCTCAAGGGAAACTGTTCAGGTTGTTACAACCCCATTTTGTGTGCTTAAATATTTGAATTGACAATAGGTTTTTGCTGATAAAGCTGCTTTGTCAGTGCCCCTGTATCAAGCCCAAATCTAGCATCCCTGATTTGTCCCTATCTACATAAGAATGAGAAGGTTATCACCAAGAAAGTTCAAAGCAAGCTAGAGGCCTAGAAGTTTGATTCTTGCATGCACACGATCAATGATTGAGATCAACCTTCAGGGAGAAGATGGGGGCACAGAGCCCAATTATTCTTTGGTAGATCTTGTTTGAAAGCCAATATTTTAGAGTACGTCAGTATGGTATTTGGTAATATTCTCCTATGCCAAGAATTTTGTCGGGATAATATCCCACGCTCTAATGAACAACTCTTTTATTTCCTTGGTTGCCACTACAACTCCCTTTCCTAGATCATTGTACCAGAGAAAGATGCCATGTGTAGCCTGCCAAGGCTTTGTTACATGTACAATACAGTTTGACATAAAAAAAAAAAAAAACTAATTCAGACAGATTTATCCCAATATAAAAAGTACTGTGCATCATTAAAAAACAAAGGTTGTTCATTCAACTACACATCATGCAAACCAAAAAAGAGTGGAATAGCAATTATTCAAACCAAACCACATAAAGAAGTAAAATGAAGTTAAAGAAAATAAATCATACCTACCTGTCACAAGATTAAACAGAAAACTCAGCAAATCATGTAATAAATTTCAACTTTGACCGTAACTGGTAGTTAAAAAAAAAAAAAAAAAAAAAAGATATTACAGCATACCACAGTACCTGCTGATTAATTAGTGCATTGCCCCAGGAACCAAGTGATGTTTGAACATTGTCTAGAACGGTGTTCTTGTTTTCAAATGATAAGCCTTGTCCAAGGTTTGATCCACTACTAGATACCATTGAAATGGAGCCTGCTTGGAAGGACCTGTAGATGAAATCATAAGAATTCAAGACTAAGAAGAATCCTCTCTGTATCATTTTAGATAGATTTCATCCTTATAACTAGATAACATACTTGATACTATGAGATCTCATATCAGCCTGGGAATCAGAATTCACAGCAGGGGTGCCTATTGGAGCCAAGTGTTGTGATATCATAGTAGTAGCAACTCCAGAGGATACTCCACTCGCCAAGGCTCGTCCATCAGAAAGAATATTTTTTGCTGCTTCTCCACCCAATGATGTAGATCTATTCAATGTCGTAGAGGCTATAATACTTGGTTGTGAAGCAGAACGAGGTTTTCGAGGTGTCTGACATGAGTACACAAGAATATTTCCCTCATTAGACTTCAAGGTGAAAGACAAACTAAGGTTAAACCATTTAAAAGCAAAAAATGATAGGTAATAATACCTTGAAGACCCTAGACTTGGCTTTAATTTCTTTTTCCCTCTGTTCCCGCCTATCATTCAGCATCTGCCTCTTGGACCTTACCTCAATGAAGTCATCTTCATCACTAGGAGCTTCTATACCAGGTTGCTTGAAAACACGCACAACACCACTTTGAAGAGGAGCATCTAAATCCTCCTCGGAACTGATGGTTCTCTTTGCATTTCCCTCTCCGGTGCATGACATGCCAATTGAAGAGGTCAACTTTTTTGCCGGCACATCTTTACCTAGTCCCTTTTCCATCTTGCTGTGAGAATCTATAACATGAGAACTACTTGATCGAGAGGCTTGGCATTCAGATTCAACCATCTGCTTGGATGATTTCTCCAAAGAACCTTTCTTACCCCCATTTCGAGCAAGACTACCAGACACCCTTCCCTTCAAATTTGACCTTTCATCCAGCGCATTGCTCAATGAAGTTGAACTTTCAGTTTGCTTCCTATCAACATTTTCCCGCACTCTAAACTCAGTTCGCCAAATGCTCCGTCTGGCCCTTCTTGGAAATCCACTAGAATCAGTGCGAACTGATTCAACATTGGAAAAGGGCGACCTTGAACTAGAATTCTTAATAGTGTAGAAAAACTTCTTCCCTTTGGTACCAAGCAGAACACGAGGAACCTCTGACCCACCTACAACCCTTTCATTTCTAACACATTGAGATGGAGCAGCTTCAGATTGTGAAATCGATTCTTTATTATTTGCTACTGAATTGTAGTTTTTCACAGTCACATCATGAAATCCTTGATCTTGGGAAACAGAATCAGGTCCTGTCCTTTTTTCTCCAAGAATAGAGATCTGTGTTTGACTCTGAGATGTCAGAACTTCATTTTCTGCATTTTCTCTTACTAACAATAAATTCATGTCCTTGCATGCATCCTCCTTAGGTAGATCGGCAATATTTGACACAAGGACAGACTGATTATCTATCAAAATAGATGACATTTTATCTTTCATTATACAGTTCTGAGTAGTGTCCGGGCCAGCTTGGTTATGCAGAAGGCTTCCCTGGTTCTGATTTAATGAATAATGAGCTGGAACAGTAGACTGTACAAAAGACAATGATTGAGGAGCCAATGGCAAGATTCCCTGAGAGATGGGAGATGTGTACCTGAGCTGACCAAACTGAAAGATAGGAGCTTGTGATGGGTGCATCTGTGTAAGAGATGGGCCAACCGGGGGATGCAGATGGAGAGGCATCTGTATAGAACCAATCTGTATGGCTGGAACTGGAGATGGTATCAGAGATGGGCCAGAGAACAGGCCAAACTGTAGCTGTACTGGTACATCAGCCTGACTTGGAACAGCAGAAACAGTTGACATTACTGACTGGACAGATGGAGAAGGCAGGGCCACATTCATAGATGAATCTACTGATTGCTGAGCTGGCAAAATGGAACTATCAGATGCTTCCATGCTACCCTGAAGATAACTAGATGTTCCCAAATTATGGGGAACATTTACAGGTGGCAGAACCACATCTTGAAGTGCCTTCTCAGATTCCTGGGTCATTTTAGAAGAATTTTCCATGGTCATATCAGGAGAGCTATTATCAGGTTGAAGGCTCTGTCCATTACCAACAAACCCATCAAAAGATCTTTTTTCTGCAATTCCAACAGTAACCTCTTGTATGCCAACTGCATTTTCTCCATTCCCAGAGGTTCTTTCTAACTCATCTCCACTAGGCATTCCAACTTCAACACCATCATTGAAGCCTAAGACCAGCTCGTCCATCTTGTCTGATGCATCCTGCTCTTCCAAGTGTAATTCTTCAAACTCCTGAACCAGCCTTATATTTTCATCGTCTCCTTCATGAACTTCATCCTCTTCATGGTAACCATCTTCCTCTTCATCATACTCTTCTTGCTCCTGTAAATCATTATTCTCACTAGCCCATTCTTCATCTTCACCAGGAGATACAGAACGTGAAGCTGTTATCGTATTCAAATTCCCAGCTTCTGTTGCTGCCACATCAGACAGAGGTACCTCTCCACCTTCTGCAGAAGCTGGCAAGACTGGTGAATCCCCAGCATCATCCAAGTCATCATGTGATAAAGGAGTAGGCGAATTGGGCGGACTTGAAACACAAAGTGAGGACTGTGAATCACACCTCGGTGTGGAAGCCTTCTCCAGTTTGGGCTCCTCAGCAGCAGTATTCTCTTGTTGGGAATCCATTACCCTAGGATGTTCAGGCTTCTCCTGATAACCACCCTCATATCCCCTTTGGATGATTGGTTCACTTCTTCTGAGAGAATGGTGATAATTCATCTCACTGTCAAGAAAAGCTGAAGAACTAGGACGTTCAGATTGACCTCCAATAGAACTTTTATGCATAGAAATCAGTGATGGAGGGGGGAGAACACGAGGCTGCCTCATTGAATGCCTGGACCTCCCAAAGGAAGAAAAACTTTCGGCCTCATTCTGGTACATTCTTTCTGGATAAGATGCATGAAGACTACCACGAGAACGACCCTGTCCCCATCCCATATCACCAAACTTGTCAGCGGGATTCTCATGAAACTCAGGGTCAATATCTGAGTTCCTGCTGTAATGGTCTCCATCCCCTGGAAAGTTCCATCTGTGCCCTTTGAGGTGATGGAAATCATCTAACAAATGTGGTTCTGAGATCCCTCCTTTGGAAGATGTCCTAGTAGACATGGCTCCAGGACCCCCATAGAACTCTTTCCTAGGAAATGATCTCCCTGAACCGAATGCATCTCGCCTTGGACTGCGGTAACCACTCTCCTGCTCCTGTACAACAAAGGTTGAGGAATTTCCATTGTCAAATACATCCCTCCTCCATGAATTTGGATGTTTTCCTCTGTCAAGAAAAGTAGAACTTCCATCTCGAGAAGAGTGAGGTCTAGAACCCATCTCAGATGATCTATTCAGACTTAAAGAATCAGAAGATGCTGAACTAGTGATCCTCTCCACCATTCTCTCACCATCTTCCCAATCCCCAACATCAGTTGACCTTGCCACTTCCTTTTCTTTCCCCAACACTGGCATTCTTCCATCCCCAACAGCAGCAGAAAACTGTTCATCTTTTGTTGGTTCAGCTTGCCTCCTTGCAATCCTTGCTTCCAACTCCAAAAGCTTTTGTTTAGCAGCTTCTTTCCTCCTCTCTTCCTCCAAAATAATCCTCCGCTTTTCCTCCTCCCTTGCCATCTTTTGCTCTTCAGCCCTTCGTGCAGCCTCCAGTCGTTCCTGTTCAGCTCTCCAAGCAGCCTCCCTAGCTTCTTCTTCAAGTCTTCTCCGTCTTTCTTCTTCTTCCCTAGCAAGACGCTCTCTCTCCTCCTCTTCTTTCCGAGCAAGCTCCAAAGCCCTTGCTTGTTCTTCAAGGATGCGCTGTCGCTCCTCCTCCTGCATCTTCTGAACTCTCTCAAGCTCTGCCTCAAAAGATTCCCTAACAGGGTCATGGAAATCAGCCTGTTTGAGCACATCCTTCTTCTTCTTAAACACCCCAACAAGACCACTAGAGAAAGGATCCCTTCCATCAAACCCAGGACTACTGCCAAAATCTTTAAGAAAAGGATCCTCTTGATATGGTTTTCCATTGTTTGAGAAGGAACGTTTTTCTCTACTGAAATTAAGTGATGGATCATTTACAGGTAGCCCTTTGCCTCCCAAAGAAAATGAACTTTTGGGCATAAAATTGGTCTGGAAGATTTCACTTCTGTGTCGATTTGAGATATCACCATTGTGCCGGTCCCACACATTCAAATCACCTCCTCTACCACTAAATGATGCTGCCATATGACTCCCAGTTTCTCTATTTCCTTGTGCAAAACCCAAATCCCTCCTACCAAATCTCAAGTCCTGAGTTCCCGTGATACCACTGCTGAAAACATCCCGAGAATTGTCTCCAAATGGCAACTGACCGTACTTATTGTCCTTATTCATTTCACGGTTCATACTGAAAGGCCTGGCACCAACCCCATTTCTGTCAATTCCAACTTCACGACTAGCATATCCATCTTTTGATAGTGAAGAGGTTCTCCAGGAGCTCCCATCTCGACCTTCTCTACTAGGAGTTCTTACATCTTTACCATAAGGTTCCCCTCTCAAAGACATCTTTGCGGATTCATCATCATGTAGACCTCGGTTGTCGGAATGATCATGAACTGAAGAACGTGTAAGCACAGTGTTCCTTGGCATATCAAATTCTCTATGGCGAAGAGATTCACTTCTTGAGAAACCATGGTCCTTGTCTCGGTCTGGGAGACCATGGCCTGTATCACGTTCATCATCAGCCCAATCAGATGTATGGTTCAACCGGACAAGTGGCAAAGGACCTGGAAAGTACTCATCTTGTTTGCGCAACTGTTCTGCAGTACCAGAACCACCTGAGACATTACTGAAGCCATGGTTCTCCTTCAAGCCACTGCTAACAGTACTACGGGAAGACTGAACCTGTGGCCGCATATGAAATTGTGGCTTTGAATAGGAGCTGTCTGTATGCTCAATCAAAGATTCTTCAATTACCTTTTGTTTCTGTTTCTGGTGCAAAATATCCTTCTGCTTCTGTGCAGGACCAGATGTGGCAGGCAAGGTCGCTTGCAAGGAAGGAAAATCTTCACCCCTTAATACAACAGCCTTCTCTACTGGAGTAAATTCACGTGCAGGACCAGCAGCTGAAGTTCCAACTGCCCCCAACCGAGCAGAAGGTGGCATATAAACACTGCCCCCCTTGGATGCATTATCTACAGAATACGAGAGCAGATCCCCACCATCAACCGCCTGATTTCCACCCCCTGATGATGGTCCTGATCTTCCGAGCAAGGGGTAGTCGACGCCACCAACGCCATCTTTCTCTCGCAAAGCAGAAGGGGCCGGCTTGGTCCAACCCATACCAGAAGAGGTGGGTCTGGATCCAGAAGCAGAACTGCCAGCACCGACAGAACCTCCACCGGCCAGCGAGGAATCAAAACGCTCATGTTCCTTCCGCAATGACGGCAAGTTCAAGGGGGGTGGAACTGAAAGCCTGGGCCCACTCTTCTGTGCACCCACAGTTGAACTCCTAGGTCTTGAAAGAACCACCATTCCACCGCCGCCACCTCCGGCATGATGACTACCTTGCCGAATTCTGCTTGCTGCCGTATTTCCCAATGAAACTGGAGGCTGCCCATACGACTTATTGAGATTCACAGACACGAACTTGCTCCCGACACCAGGATTGGCCATCGAGAATCCGGACCCAACCCTTCTCCCTTTCGGCAGATGCCGAGTTCAGCCAAAGCATCAAACCCTAACTCTATATTGCTTCCCCAATAAAGACAATGCAACAGAATTCCTTCGGCGGACCTTTAAACAACAAAAAGAAGAAGAAGAAGAAAATGATCAAAATCAAACCCTAAAAAACCACGTGACAAACTCCATAATCGCCATAGCTCGATCGCAAAAATTTAACAGACGAAAATCTAGAAAAACAAAAAGACTACCAGGAGCGTTGCGGATTTCTGAGTTTTATTAGGGATTGGGTTTGCCCTCGAGCTTCAGCGGATGCAATAGAAAATAAATAATTAAATAAAAGAAAAAAAAAAACAATGAGAAGAGAGGTAAAGTTTAAGGAGCTTACGAGTACAGTATCGGGTGACAGTTTCAATTAAACCGCGTTGGGGAGACGTGAAACGAGAAGCCCTAACCAGCGGCCAAAGAGAGAGCTCCTCAGGAAGGGAGAAGGGAGAGAAAGAAGAAAATTAAAATAGAGTACTTCTTTTATTTATTTATTTATAAACATATATTATTGAGTTTCATTTCATCGGTCTCAGAAATCAGAAAATCAAAAAACTAAAATTAATTATGTAATTTACGAAGAAAAATAAATTAATTTTGTAGAGGAGAAGGTTCTAATATAGGCTTAACTCGTTTGTTCATGTGGCGACGTTTTGTGATCAGAACCGAAATCCGCGGCATTCAACCATACAACCAAAACCCAAAGTCTGTGAAAAGAACTACAGTTATTAAAAAAAAATATAATCGGTACCCTCCATTTTTAGATGGTGTGTCTAATCGGTTCCTGAACTTTTGAAATATGTTTTTGGGTACCCTGAATTTTTAAAATGTGTAATAGGTTCCTATCGTTAACGGTTCGTAAGTTATTTTTAAAAATGTCAAAATTATCCTTCTAAAAACTACTGTTCCTTGACATTGAAACTGACCAAGTTTTGACGATCGCTCAAAACTAATCACAGTCTTCCCACCATCCCCTTTATATAGCATTGGATTGAAGTTCTGAAACATACCTATTTAATTATTTAGTATGTGTCTGATTTTTGTTTACGTTTTTTTATTTAATATTTGTATTTTATTTACTTGTAAAGCTGAAAAAGGTAATAATTACAACTGTTTATGACAATTAGGTGCTATTAGACTCTAACCGTTTATAAAAACTTTAAAAAATAGCTTTCCCAAACGATAAGTATAAACAAAAATCAAGGAATTACATTTTTACCATTCTCGATGTATACAAAAGAATAAGAGAAAGGAACTGCTGAAGTAATAGCATTTATTGAATAAATACCCACATAACCAAATATCCTATTAATGGGGATGCCTTTTAGTGATGGATAATTTAGCTTGATTGCTCCTTCAATGCCCGGAAAAAGCCAAGTTGCAGAAATTGGGAGTCGTTATTCACAGGATTGATAAAAACTTTGTTTTTTATCTTAATATGTGTTACCATATATTCAATGATTTGAAGTAGCGGGCTGGCGAATACATCTGCTTGACAACATGACTGCTCTTGGTTTTGTTTTTCCTCCACAAAGTTTCTTTTCCAGAGCCCAAACAGCTGGGATTGGTCAATATACATTATGAAGCTCTTGTTATCACAAACTCACTTATGGATTTAATTGCCTAATGACTAGTGTAAGAAGAAATCGAGTATAATAAATGAGCAAATTCAGCCCTATATATGAAACCGTACCAATGGCGGTTTCAGCCGTCACCAGAACTTGGTCAATTTTTGGCACCTTCATCTTTGTCGTCGGTTATTTACACCATCATAGTTATCATGCAAAAAACACAATGAACAGTATCTTTTTTTAAAAGTAGTTTTGATATTTTAAAAGTTTTAAGTGTCACATGTCATCACGTGATACAGATAACTGGCAGACTGTTAATGACAATAACTTATTAGACACTGAAAATTTAGAATACTGTAAAGATACATTTTAAAGTTCAAGGACCAATTAGACACAACCCCTAAAGTATAGGGTATTGATCAAGAATTTTCCCTAAAAAAAGTTAATGCTCTTCTTTGAAAAAATAAGAATCACTGCTTGGTTCGATTGTAAAATGAGTTCGGGTTCGAACCTTGGGGCTTGGGAGGGTTCAACCAGTTTGACAATGACTATATATTAGGCTTTGTTTGTATTACAATTGAAATTGAAATCAAAATTCCTCAAAAATAGAAATGGAATGGTTTATTCTCTTATTTGATTTAGACGGAATTGAAATTGAAATTAAAGTAAATTGGAATGAGATCTCATTCATGGGAGGAGGAAGAAATGGCCATTCCCTCAAATAGGGTAAATGTCATTCCACTACCACTAGGATTCCGATTCCAGACCAATATTCTGGTGAACCAAATAGGCCATCGCTACAATCAACCTTACACTTAGGTGAACTAAGAAAAGATACTTGAGATACAACGTAAATGTTGATTTGAAATAACATAAGATAAAAGTAAGGGTAAATTAAAGATAATTACCAGGTATTTTAGTGGCAGTCCCACTTTAGGGCTTGTATTATTAAATGTACCACTTTAATATTAGAACATGACAACGAGGAGTAAAATTGCGAAAATGCCCATGTTTTGATTGAATAGTTTTCTTTTTCACTATTCATCTTTTTCTGCCTTTGACTTCATCAAATACAAACCTAGAGTGGCAAAGTAAGCTCACTGCTCACCCCAACCTGTTCATGGGATAACCTCACTTTCAAATGGTTACTTTATTGTCACTAGTTTGTAATTTCACCCTTCAACTTAAAGTTGTTTTAGCAAAGCTGGCCTTAAAATGTATATTTCTAAAGTTGAAGTACTAAAATAAAGTAATGCATGGATTGCTTCTTCTCTAAAGTTTGATATGAAACTTTCTATTTGTATTTTTGGAATAAAAAAATCATATACACCATGGTTTTCAAAACCGGATCAGATCGGACGGTCAGACCAAAAAAACCGATAACCGATCAGCCCTCTGTCTCTGGTTTTACTAAAAACCAGAAATTGTTAAAAAAATGTTGAAAAGGTCAGAAAATCGCTGATCCGGGCGGTTAGATTGCTAAATTGTTCGATCTGAGCAGCGGTTCACGCGTTAGCATTTTTATTTTCAATGTTTTAAATAAAAAAAAAAAACAAAAAATAAAATACCTTTTATATTCCAACCCAATTCGAATCCCTTACTCCCTTTGGCTTTAGGGTTAGAAGTTCTAACCCTTCCCGAGTTCCCTCCTCTCAACCCTCACACCCTACCAACCAACCACCTGTGGCGGCCATCACCTCCGGCGTCCGATGGCGACCGGTGAGCTTGCAGCGGCGAAAAGACTCACCAGCACTTGCAGCAGCAACTTGCTTGTAACCAAGCCCGATTGCCCGAGCCCACCGGCGACAAACCCACTATCACACCACCATTACCAGTGTCATTCTATTTCTATTAGCAATTACATTCTATATCACATGGTGGTTTATACATTTTGTGGATGGATTTTTCTCTCTGATCTATGCCTAACTTGGAATCAACATCTTTGGTATGTGATCATTTTCCTGTTTTACCTCTATATTTTGTTTATTTTGGTGAATGCAAGAGGTTGGGTGTTTTTTGCAGTTTTCATTTCTTGGGTTGAGAAATTTCCTACTTTACATGCGAGTTACATCAATGTTTTGATAATTTAGAACATGTGGAGATCTCTAACTATGGATCATCTGCATACCATAGTTTGAACTTTAATCTTGAAGTTTAAAATCTAGTAATGACCATGGAAAATTTTCTGTATTTTTTGGAAAATTTTCTGTATTTTATTATTTTTATGTTTTTCATATGTTGTTCTTTTTTCTGTATTTTTTGTATTTTATTTAAATTTTTATGGTATTTTTTGTTATATATAAATATTTTTTGTTTTTTATTTATTTATAGCATCACGAGTCGAACGGTTCGATCCGGATGATTGAACCGCTGAACCGGAAAATGGTGCTCAGAACGGTTCCGTTTCCGGGTCAGTTTTTAAAACCTTGATACAAACTACAAGTAATTGAGAGTGGCTCAATTGACAAGTTCTCACTGGTTGTACCGGAGACTAGGGAGCAAATCCCGTTGCCAATACAATTAGGGGTTATGGGTATAGGGGACAATCTACTCACATTTATGTAGCCCATGAATAAAAAATAAATAAATAAATAAATAAGAAAAAGTAGTTCAAAACCAATCTGTTTGTAATTGAATCCAACATGAATGCACCCTTTACTAAAAAGGGCTAATTACTTAAATGCACCATGTGGTTTCTAAAACTACTTATAGGTTGTTTGGTTATATTGCCATTTTGTTAAATAATGGCCATCCCTTGGAATTTGATAAAAGGAAAAATCTATGATGCAGGAAATATATGATATGGAAAAAGTTTTGATCAATCAAAACCCATTCATGAATTTTGATAAATAACACCTTATTTGCTACCACATTTATGATTTCAGTTGATTGATCATATATTTTTCAGATATCATATATTTTCCATACCATAGTCGAACCCTTTGATAAAATAACTTTTGGCCTGAATCAAAATTCAGGTCATATGTCACTGTTCCAGTTGTACAAAAATAAAACCCTCATTTTATATTGTAATCTAATACCAACCAAGAGCCATGTAGGCATAAAGGTGAAAATGTTGTTGCCATTGCAAAAGATCCAAAAGTTATTTCTCACATAATCCAAGAAATTTAGTAAACAAATTGAATAACACTCAAGCAAACAAGAGAAAATGAGGGAGAGAGCAAATCGTCTACATTGCAAAAATAACTTGAAGAAACAACCCTAATAGGAAACACCTTCTTTTTTGTTTTTGATTTTTTATTTGGTGCTATGCACCACCATTAGTAACTTCCCCCTCACCCTTTTTTCCCTTAAAGTGCTGGTTGTAGGATTTGATTCCATGTCAACCCTGGAACAAACCAGCTAACACACCAACGAGCCAGCCCTTGGTTGGTAACACCTTAAGTATACCTTACCTGATAGCCTCCACTTGTCACAAATAGCCCTTTCGTTAGTAAAAATGTGTAGAGTTGTTTAAATATGATATCACATGCACAATATATTTTAGGGTAAATTGTTGAAACCTCCCCTGATGTTTGATGGACTCTTTGACACAGTTGCAAGTAGACCCCCTCTAGTAGAATCATTCAACAAGAGGCATGGATATATTCGAAACAGCCATGCAATTACTATTGAGGCTGGTCTATACAAAAAAAAACAATAGAAAATTTATAAACAACAAAAATAGAGAATCCAAAGTTGTAGCTTTACATTTGAGTGATTGATATCAAAGGCAAGTTTGGAAAATAGATCAATTTCAGAAAAGAGATTGGAAGGGTTTGGGCTAGAGATTGCTATGAAGAGAAAATTTGGAAAATAAACATTTTGGTCAAGGGGGTTTAGAAAGTTTAGAAAGTTTAGGGGAAGTGATTGCATGGGTATTTTAGACATTTTCATGCCCCTTTTTTGGAGGGTTCTAATAAAGGGGGTTTACTTGCAACTATGTTCAGAAAGTTTAGGAGAAGTGATTGCATGGGTATTTTAGACATTTTCATGCCCCTTTTTTTGGAGGATTCTAATAAAGGGGTCTACTTGCAACTATGTTCAGAAAGTTTAGGGGAAGTGATTGCAATTAGTCAATTACCAAACTTTAGGGAGGTTTCAACTTTCAACAATTTACCCTATATCTTATTATAATTTTAATTTTGCCCTTTTATGCCATGGATTGAATGAGGACATTGTAAAAATAGAGAGAGGTTGCCTGAGGGCGTAAAGAATAGTAAGGAAAACAGATATAACTTGACCATTCTCATGGTGGAGAAACACATAACTCAGCAAAATTATGAACAATTTCTTTCAAAGATGTACAAATAAAACATTTCCTACCCTTTACCAGTTGCCTTACATCTTTCATTTTTACTCATTTGCTCCACACTTCCAGGGAGCCTCAAAGTTCATATTGCCTTTGTCCCTGCTGCCATAAATATAGTCCATCTCTATGCACTGCCACCGAGCAAAAAGAACAAGGAAATATGGTTTTTAAAACTGGACCGGAAAAATCGGGAACCGGTCATCTGATCAGTTCCACTTTTCCTCAAAATCATTGATTTTGGTCAGTAAATCGTTGAATCGACCGATTAATCATTTGAATGGTTTTGACCGTTTTTCAATTTTTTTATTTATTTTTATTTTTTTGTCAGAATAAATAGACTTTTCGAGTCAAACGATCAGACCGTTTGAACCAATAACCGGACTCTGACCGATTTAATCACCGGGTCGGTTTTAAAAACTATGCCTTAAACCTCATACTCCTTTTCAGTTTTTACACCAAAGACTAGTCAACAAAACTGCCATTTATAACATCAACGAGCAGCAGTGTCCACACTTGATAATCGTAGGCTCCTTTATGCCAATTTTTTTACACAATTCGGGGCATGCCCATTTAAAGCCCAAGTTAATCGTCAGAATATGTTTTCTCTTGATTGTGGGTCAACCCCCATTTTTTGTTGACTTTTATTACTCATAAGTCATAAATCATAATTATGCTAAAATTTAAATAAAAACAGAAAGAATGAATTGTTAAAAAAATACACGTTCCGGCTTGCCGGATTCGAACCAGCGACCTAAGGATAACAGCTAGCAACTACAGTCCTCCGCTCTACCAACTGAGGTAAAGCCGGATACAAATTTAATGCAAACTAAAAGATATATAATTACGATGCAATGATTTTGGTTGGAACATCTTCCCGCCTTACAAATACGGAGATGTTTCATATGTGCGACTCCAAGTGGATGTCAGGAGGGATCTGTGAGGAAAAAATCCAAACTCTAATACAATACCAATATAAGTAGGAATGGTAACGGAGAGGAGATCATATGCCCCATCTTTAATCTTGATTTTGAAATTAACCTCCATTTCCGTTTTCAATCCCCGACGGGAATGGATTCCTCGCGGGGACCCAAATCCCCAAAATATTTTTAGATAATAGTATTTAAAAAAATAAAAAAAATAATATAAATTATAAATAATGTTTTGATATATATTATAATATAAATAATATGATAGTATATTTGATATATATATTAATCTCCGATTGATGATTCCTATTAATTCCCGTCTCTATTCCCGCACTACCAAAACAATCCCCATCCCCGATTCCATGAAATATGGGAAATTGGATTCTTATTGGGACCGAAAAATTGCCATCCCTAAATATAACCCGACTTGGTAGCGCTTATTAGCTGCTGTAGCATAGTGTCTAATGCCTTTTCCGAAGCAGGCCCTGACCTACACAAAATTTACTGTTTATAAGCTATGTTAGGCGAAAAGTTCAGAGAGCCCAAATAGGCAGCTGTTAGTCATTTTAAGTGTCGTTTGCATAGCTTATCTGAATTCTGAAGCACTTCATAGCAGCTGACCTGAACCTGCTCAACTGAATCTTCAGTTCAACCTTCCCAAACAGGCCCTAAGTGTCTCAACACTCCCGTCCATATTTGCAAATTATAGCAAATTAGGCTACATGAATCCTGTTTAACAAATTGTTTAACCACTAACTACTGCCTAAAATAAGAAAACATTTTGGCCCTGTTGATTTTCTGGTAAGCCTTTTAAGGCTTTACCTGGGCATTTATATGTATTCTTTTTATCTTTATTTCACATATAAGCATTCCTTTCACTCATAAAATGTAATTATTATAAGCAGCAATTTTGTCCAATGATGTCTTATATTGGGAAGTAGATATCATTTACCACAAGTTATTTACTACAGGACCCACAACAAAAAATGAACAATGAAAAAGTTATTTACCATGGGCCCACAACTTTCCCCTCCCTACCAACGCCATCGGGGGCCCTTGAACCACTTCCAACTTTGAGAGTTGTTATAATGTCCTCATAAGATACTTTGGATCTCCTGTAAGAATTCTGCCTACGTCTACTCACAGTATATTATCCCGGTTATTAGGAGCATCTTAATATTATTTAGGAGGATCAGATGTTCTCCATGTGTGACTGTGATGTTATGTGGGTAGATGTGGATAGGGTTCTCGTAGGTGGGAGATCCAGACTCCTTAGAGGGGCAAATTCCTAACTGCTAAATAAGGGTGTAAATAGATCGAATTTGAAGCGGACCACTCAAAATTCTAATTTGAATTCGATTAGAAATATGATGATTCGAATTCGACTAGGAATTCAACTAGAAATTCAACAGATATTTAAAACTAACAACTGAATTCGAATTCAATTACAAAAATTGATTATTCAATTTTATTCGAATTCGATTGACATATTTGCATTCTTACCTCCAAACACCTTGAAACCATTGTTTTCAAAACCGGACTGGACCGTAAAAACCGAGAACTGGTCACCTGACCAGTTCCATTTTCCTCCAAAACCGTTGATTTTGGTTAGCAAACCGCTGAACCAGCCAGTTAACCATTCAAACTGTTCGAAGGGTTTTGACCGTTTTCCAATTTTTTGATTTTTTTTTTATTTTTTTGTCAGAACGGACCGGCCATTCGGGTTGAACAGTCGAACCGTTTGAACTGGTAACCGAACCCCTGACCGGTTCGATCACCGATTCGTTTTTAAAAACCATGCTTGAAATAGAAAAATGAAAAACAAAAATTATCAAAGAAGGTGGGCAATCAGATTTGTCACACTTCTAATGCGAAATCTGTAAAAAAACTGAAATCAAAACCCAAAAAACAACATAGATCTTTAAAACCATTAAATAAATAACAAATTCTTAGACATCAAAAGCCATAAAACACTCTGGTCTCATCTTTTTCTTTTCTTATGGTATTCCTATTCTTAACCATATTTTCTTCCTCTTCCTCTTTGCCTTCTTTGACATCAACTTCTACCATATATTGCCTTCTTTCACAGTAGCTCATAGTTTATTGCACGAAGATGCTTTAACTATTCATATGCAAGAAGCTCGATTGCAACTACTGAATGAACTTGTGTAACATATTTTGAAGATGACTCAACTGCTTCGTTTGAGTTAAGGAGAGAAATGATAATATTGATAACCGAGAGTTCAAGTCAAAAAAGGAAAGGGAGATTGATAGCCGAGAGTTCAAGTCAAAAAAAAATCAAAAGGAGATAGGCAGATTTTAGATTTTTTTCATTAAAAAAATATAATATTAATTTGATTTTTCAAAAAGTCGTCATTACTTCTGATTTGATACGTTTATTGCCTTCTTTTATAATATATATAATATGAAGGAGAAATACGGACAGACAGATTTCTGATTTCCACTACAGAGCTATATACATTCAAAAGGTCAAAAACTCACACTCTATGCACCTATACCCACCCGTGAATTAACATCAATTCCAAACTGGCACTTACCCCAAATGTACATTGAGCCTATAAATTCTGACCCTGGGCTAAATCAACATTCTCCCTTATATACTATTAAAGAAAATAAAGATTTGTCAAAACATCATTACAATATCCTAGTTAAAAAAATATAGTAATACATTTCCTTCTCTCATATATATATATATATATAATGAGATAATCGAATTCAACCGTATCTTATATTCGAATTATTCAAATTCGTTTTCAATTGTGTCAGATCTCGAATTCAAAATCGATTTTTCAAACAGTTGGAACCCCTACTGTTAAGCTGTATCTGGCATCGATGGCAACCTCATATTAGGGCGTTCATTTCATGTATGAGACGTTAAAAGAAATTCCGTGGGCAAATTCAAATATGCAACCAACACAATGAATATCCCATTCTGATGATTCATTAAAGCTGATACTATGGCCCAATTTATGTAATAGATATTTGTTATCTATTCTTTGAAGTAGTTTGCAAGTTTTATCTGAAACTGGTTGCTCACTAGAACCCTAATCTGAATGAAATACCCACAAAAACAATGTCTGGTGATCCAATTAACTAGTAGATGACGGAATCGGAATAGGGTTACAACTTTACAAGGGCAAGGCGTTTTGAGTTTTGACTGAATTCCGCATGAAGCACAATAACAAACTGCAAGTCTTATTACTTTCTTATTATAATGCATCCCGAGAAGCAATTCGACATGTTATAGCATCTGCCAGTGAAGATATCCCCAGTTCCAGGCCCGTTATTTTGTAGTGCTGAAGAAAAGAGTAAATGTTGATTGTTAGCAGCAAACAATGGCATAAGAGGGCAGACGAAAAATACATAAACTGCAAGTAATTGGATCCAGAAACCTTCTGTATCTGTGCTTGGTCGGCTCTTCCTTCCAACTCCTCCAAATCAATCTCTTTCCCATTAATAAGCTTCTCCACAGCTTTCATCTAGAACAACAAAATTTTCAACATCATGATCGCAACTTCTTTTTTCTTCATTAGATGAACCGAACATATCAACAATGCAAAGCAACAAAGTAACATAAAGAAAAACGATATGACCTCATCGTCAGAAGCATCAAAGAGGGCAGCAAGAATATAGGTGGAATTCTCAGATATGCCACATCTTTTCAAGGATTCTGTGATCTATAAAAATCGACTCCCATTGTTAATTACCAAGAATTATAATGAAATGCAAGGGATGGAACCACATTGATAAAAAACAGAACAATTACATGCTTAGATCCTGAGTAACTGTACACAAGCTCAGAATGAAGTGTTCGTGTTGTCAGCGTCTCCCTTGACTTGGCCAAGAGTGTCTTATATGCAGCTGCTAAAACAGGGAAAATATCTGGTATCTGTCTTGTTTAACAAAATAATGTCAGATATGTCTTAACAAACTATTGTCCATGAAATGAAATAGGCAAGACAGATATTGTATGTGGTGGATATATACGCAAGTATCAAAAAACTTACAAGTGATGCATTGAGAAATGCTACTTCTGGCTCTAGTGTTCCGGCTTGCATTGAATTCAGAAGTTCCCTGCAAACGTAAAGAGTGTGTTACTTATTAGAGTAAGAGTCTTGGGCCACGTGGCCCGTTTGCAAGAATTAGTTACTCTGTAACAAACTTGTCCGCACTCAATTATTCACCACTTGTATCTATAAATACATGTGTAAGCAATGAAACAAAACACAGATTCTTTTCATTTCTGATATAATTTTACATGGTATCAGAGCGGGTAACGGAAGTTTGATCCAAGACTCAAACTCTTTCATGGCGTCTGAAACCAGTGGAAGCTCGTTCATGTCACAGATCTTGGATCCCAGTTCACCAAACTTCCTGCATTCGTCAGACAAACCAGGGCTCGTTCTGCTCTCATGCCTGCTCACCAGTGAAGATTATCCGCTATGGCATCAAGCGATGAGAACGGCACTTCATGCAAAGAACAAGCTCTGTTTCATTGACGGATCGTTGCCCTGACCACCCATCGGTTCACCAGAAGAAATCTTTAAACAGATCTTTTGTTTTCAATCAGTGAATAACCTTAATAGTTACTGCTACAATTTCCTCCTTGGATCTATACACACTATCAATCAATGAATAATCTTCATTGTGGCACTCCTTCAGGAATTTTCTTTTCATAGGTTACTAGTTTTGTGAGCTAGGTTTATTCTTAAAATGAGGTCTCTCCTAATCTTTTTAAAAAAGACATGCACAGTACAATCTTTCTATTCAATGAGAACTTTGAGATTCCTCTATAATTTCAAGATATGGGATTCTTCTCGAATGGTAGTCAGAATCAATCTTTTCACCCCAGATTGGTGAAACTCAAAGCTATATGGTAAATCTTCTTTACATTCTTCTCAAATATATTTAGTTTTAGAGGAAAAATGATATTGGACAATTAAAATATTTCATACAAAAAGACTATCAAAATAAATATTTCAGACAGAAATGCAAAAGAGATCTTTTCTCCCTTCAATATATTTTTAATTTCCACATTTTGTACTTGACATATCTATCCCTCCATCTTAGAAGAAGTAAATCAGTTGCCTGGATGCCACCTAGTTAACACTTCAACTACGCTGATTTGCATCTTGTAGAGATTAACCCTTTCTATGAACTTTTGTCCCATTACAGAAATCAACTATGCTAATTTTATATTTGATGAGTAAAATATTTAGTATATTTCACATTGATAAATGATGATTTAGGATTACTCTATCTTTCTAAGAGTAATTTTTTACAAGCCATGATACAAAATTACTTTTTGATGATTTCCCTGTCAGTGGGAATTCTCAATCATAATGCAACTGCCAAGATTAGCAGCAAAGCAATGCCACTCTTGGTGTTTATCTTATGATGAAGCCAAATTGATTGAGATAGGATTGTAAAAAGAGACAAAGGATGTCTGTAGGATAGTTTAAGAGGTTATCAATAGCTGCTCTATTCGTAAAACTAAGATTTTAGGGGTTAAACTCTTGCTGGGTGACCATAAAAATTAGGAAGAAGTATGCCAGAAATAAGATGCTGTTAACTAGGATGAATTTGGGTTATGGGGTTAAAGCCAGAAGGGGTGCTATCTGGTGAGATACCGCTCACCTCGGAAGCCCCTTCGAGGGTGGCTTAACCTCCTGAAAACAGAAAATGGAGAGGAAGAAGAGAAGGGAAGGTAGGAAAAGAGGGATTCAGTGAAAGAGAAAAACAGGGGATATTCATTCATTCATTCCTTCTTTAAA